AGTAAGGAAGAAAACAGGACGCTCCCGAGGCGGTTCACAGCCCGAAACTCTCCGTCCCGGCGTGCACCGTTCCTGCCGCGATGGTGGTCGGGACGTGGGCGCGCTCCATGCTGGGAAGCGTAGTCTCTGATGTACCGACCCCCGGGGAGGCAAGGTCATTTCCCTCCTTGCTTGCAAAGGGGAGGATTGGTTGCTGTTTTTTTGCGGTACGGGGATGAAGATTCATTGCCTGCTATCCCTTGCGTTTTTGCGCCATGTACTTGGCGTGGCCTATACTGATGGTATCGTTTCTCGTTGTAGTGAAGGAAACACGGTGGAAAAAGTGAGTCTTGTAGTTGGAATACTCCAGAAATTAAGAATAGGTTGTGTTCTGCTGCCCTGAGGACACATTTTCTAAGAGAACAGTGCAAGGACCAGCAATTCTCTTTTTGTTTGTTTTTGGTTTGATCATTTTTAGAAACTGATAAATAGAAAAAAGTCTGTGAATCTTAACTGTTACTGGGAGATGGTCGTTTTTAGATCCCAATGTCTCCTGCACTCCCCCTTTTCCATAAGAAGAAATATTACTGAGTGTATGTTAAACTTGTCCTGTTGCCCCAACAAAGAAACGTTAGGGAAGTGCTTGACCTCTTCATTTTTAAGGGGAAAAATGTGCAAGACTGTGCATCATTATTCTTCTGACTGGCATAACTCTGATAAATTAGCCTTTTATGTTTAGGTCTACATGAGAGGAGTCAGGTTCTACTTGTCAGGCTGGTAAAGATATGTTGGATATTACTGATTGATTAAAAAGTGGATTTAAAAAGAAATTGTTTACCCTTTAATTTTTTTTCCAGATTCTTAGGTTAATAAGTTTTATGCATATTTGCTAGACTCTAAAAGAAAACATTCTGGGCATTCTTACATTGTTTATCATGTGTTTGCAACAAATGCCGTTAATTTCCCTGACTTATTTTTGTATATATTTCTTTGAATTTAATACTGCCTATGATGAGGATATGAAAAATTAGGACCTGAAGTATCGTATAAAATTATATTGGATCACTAATAAAAAAAATACCTGTAGATAAAACAAATCTGGAGATCATAAAATTTGTGGGAGAATAATTTAATTTTTCAATAAAAAATTAGGGAAGTAGGCAGGATAGAAAAATACAAAATTGCTTTATCCTAGTGAGGTACTATAGTGGTAAACTGTGTGGTTTTCAAGGTAACAATAATAGCTATAAGCCTCTGTCTTACATAGCTCCTTTGCTGGTGTCCTGGGACAGGGCATTGTTTTTCATCGTCTTCTATGATCACCATTGACCTTGCTCAAGATAAACACTCCAAGTCAAAGCAGGTCTTTTCTATGTAATTGAAGACTTGAACACAGATACCTTAAATGCCTCTTCAATAGTATTGCTTCTCACAAATCTTTTCTGTATATAAATTTTGGAGATAACACTGACCCTATTGCATAGTATTATGTTAGACTACCTACATATATTATTTCTAATTATAGTAACCACTCTGCATTATGCCTATTACCAATGGAGAACCAGCTCAGAAAGATTAAGTATGAATAACTTGTCCAAGATCACAGTTAGTGGGAAGTGGGTGATCCATTATATTCAAAAGCTAAGTCCAGTAGGAAATAGTAACTGATGATTGAACTCAATCTATTTATCACGTATGGGCCCAGTTATGAGGGAATGTTATTGATGTCTTGCTTTTTAAAATTTTTTTGTTATTTTCCTACTAAAAACCAGCTTGGTTTTGGCAGGAGAAATTTGAACTTACTGGCCTGAGTTGTAGCTGTAAATGAGTGTTAGGAAGTGATTAGTGTGGCATAATCATCATTTCAGACTTCGTCTGAAAGATATAAAGTGACTGATTTCATGCACTTGTACATTCTTCTCCCTTGTTGAGTAGTTTGCCACAACTGTGTTCTGGATGAGCCGGACAAAAAAATCTACTACTGCGTCAATGTCAAGGAAGGGACACATCCTACCTATTTCAGAAGGATTGAGTGTGCAGCTCTGGACCTCTTGAAATCACAGGAGAAAGCAAGTAACAAAGGCCACTAAATCTCCTAGGCTTCCTTCAACCTAATCTCTAGCTACCTCTCTATCCAGTCTTCCAACCAAGAATGTACTTGAGTTCAGGGATGCTTTCTAATATTGCTCAATAAGGAGGGAACAGGAAGTCTTTTCCTTTTGGCTGCCTGATTGACACTTTTCCCTTGTAATATCTAAGAGCTCAATACTTTAAAATTTTTACGTATTTAGCTGTTACTTTGGGTAAAATGACAGAACATGGAAATAGGAAATTGCCTCTGTCTTTAGCCCAACTCTCTGTTTTGCAGAGCTGTATTCAACTTCAAAATGGTGAAATGCATTCACCTTCAAATGGCCTCTAAAAGTGTCTGAAAAATACTAGCCTGAGCAAGAGCTAGATAAGAGGCTGTTTCTAAAATTACCCAGGCATAGTGTCATGCACCTATAGTCCCAGCTACTTGGGAGGCTGAGGTAAGAGGATCACTTGAGGCCACGAGTCTGAGGTTGCTCTGAGCTTTGATGCCTTGACACTCTACTGAGGGTGACAGAATAAGACTCTATCTCAAAAAAAAAAAAGTGTGAAAAATAAAAGGACCATCGGCTCTCCTCCATATTTCTCTGATCTTTAGGCATCAGGTGGGGTTCTCCTCTTGTGTTGTTACCTGTGGACATGGCAGCTGAAGTGGAGCCTGTTCTGTGTCTTCCTCCCTATTTTCTGTTATGCTGCTCCAGAGACCTGGCTTGAAAAAGCAGGACATTCGGCTTAGACAGTTGAAGGGCAGGGTCATTTTCAAAATGAAATGAGTACACAAATCATACTGTGAAATTGGCATGACCATCACTGCTGCTTAGATCGATAGACCGACTTTTATTTGGTCTCTGATAGGCACTTGGGGAATAGATTAGTTTCAGGGGCGGAGGGGGAGGTGAAAGGAGGCCCTTTAATTAATGATAGAAATTCTAGAAAGCAATAAACAGGGTGGAATAGTATAAAATATCATAAAGGATTATTTTGTTTACAACACAATCTTGAAAAGCTGGAGCATATATCAATGGCATGTCTGTAATGCCATTCTCAGCAATAAGAAAGCACTTCATGTTTGCAATAAAATGATTTAGTGCCTTATTGAAAGGAATTAAGCTTTTAGGAAATAATGTTGGACTCGGTGAATTTTGCTGAATCAGGGAAGGCATGTTTACTATGTAGAATAATTCCTTTTAAGCAAAATGTATTGTGACAGAAAACATGGTGTTTGGTTCTTAACATGTTTATGTTTCTGCCTGCAAAATGTGAGATGATCAAATCCCACATATATTCTATTTGGCAGTCCCTTTTAAAACTAATTGGAAGTGATTGTTTTCTTATTTGTTTTATGAAAATAACTAGTTATTGTTGGTAAATGTTACTTATTTGTTGACATTTTAGCCACAGCCATGGTTAAACATCCTCCTTGATAAAGAAAGCCTTTTGGTAAAACTGTTTTTTAGTTGTTCTTCCTAACATTCTAGGCCATTTTCTTCAGGGTATCCAGTTTGAGAGGCTCAGTTTCCTTGCTTTTTTTGGATTCCAGATTGATCTTTTTGCCCTTATGTATCCACTAATGATGATAGGACTGAGCCTCCTACCACACCTCCCTCATTTCACCCTGTCTTCCACCAGTAAACAGGGAAGACCATATAAAGTAGTGCCCAATTTGTAATGGAGTTGACCAACCTTTAGGTGCATCTGTTCAATCTTTTAAGAGTTTTTGACAGAATTTTGTGCCCAAGCAACACTTGGGAACATTAAATTCAGAAAGGGAGAACTTTAACCTCATTGGGAGATTAATTTTCTTTTCTGTGATTCCAGATCTATTAATATTTTAAATAGTAATATGTTTCCTTCTTGCATATGACTTGCTTTTCATCAGTTTTTATTTCTGTGCTTATGGTGTTGCTATGGTTTGGATATAGTTTGTCCCCAACAAAACTCATGTTGAAACTTGACCACCTCTGTGGCCGTGTTGGGAGGGGAGCATAGTGCCAGGTGTTGGGGTCATGGGGGCGGATCCTCATGAATGGCTTGGTGCCGTTTTCATGGTAGTGAGTTCTGGCTCCTTTAAGACTGGATTAGTTCTTGCAGGAATGATTAGTTCCCATGAGAGTGAGTGGTTATGAAGCAGGTTTTGCCTCATGGTACGTATCTACTTTCCCTTTGACCTTTTACCATGTTGTGCTGCAGCACACAAGTCCTCACCAGAAGCCAAGCAGATGCTGGCATCGTGCTTCTTGTACTTCTCAGCCTGAAGAACCATGAGTTAAATAAACTTCTTGTCTTTATAAATTGTCCAGTCTCAGGAATTCTGTTACAGCAACACAAAATGGACTAAAGTGTTATTATCCAAATTAATTATTAGGCAAAACACAATTATAGAAGTTACTAAAAGAATTAACAGAGAAGTCACAGTTGTGGATGTACCACCACTGAAAAATTCCTTTCCCAGAGTTGAACTGTGCTGTGGGATGCACCGATGGGGCTGCGAACCAAACTATTTCATTTGAGCACCTCTTAATGCTTCCATTTCCAAGGTGCGAGACATCCTGAAGTATCA